TAAGCCTGTCGGGTCATAAATGAGTAAACTGCTAGGAGCTAGAAGAGGACCCTTGTTTGATGCCAAGACATGGCGAGAGGAGGGTCCAGAAGTGGCTTGGCTCTTCAGCAATGAATCGGGGACTTGATAATCTGGATAAACATGTTGAGATTCCTGGCTCGGCCCTGCCTCTCCTTGACCCCTTCCCAACCTCTTCTTACTCCCTAGATAGGTAGAGGCAAGTCCTTGGTTCTTGTTTGACTCCTGCCCCCTTTAGCTGCCTGGATCTGTCTGGTTTTCCCTGCATATTGACCGTGGTGGGTGTCGTGTCCGTGATGAGCAGCAGCGTAGGGACATGAGCCATAGTCCCGTAGTAAGGAGAGAGTTAACAACGTACAGCCGCACTCTGGGATTGCCAGGCCAGAGCAGTGGTGCTCAGTCGGTGTCCTTTATTCACAGCAGCTGTTGCCAAATGCTGGGGGGCTGGGGGGAGAGCCCAGCCAGCCAGCCTCCCCATCCTCATACATGCTCTCGTGTAAAGAGCTTCCCTCCTGACCTTGCCTGGATAGCGCTTTGTACCTCCGTGTCTATGGGCTGGCAGATGCCATGACTTCCCTGGCTAGTGAACATGCTCAGAGAACCCCGTCCAGGCAAAGGGATGGTCTTTTTGGCTCTTCTTAACCTCATGCATCAATATCCTGCAGTAGTTTCACAGGGCTAATATTTCATGGTCTTCTAGCCATTGTAGGTCTCTGTCCTCCCTACAAGCAGGGCACAGGGAGGATCACGGGTCAGGACTCACAAGCCCCTTGCTGATGATGGTAGGAGATGTGCTCTGGAATGTTGTAGGGGAGCCCTGCTAGCTAACCCTGTAGAACAATCGTGTCCGTCTGCAGAGAGAATGGTCGTGGTTTCAAGTAAAGCAGTGAGATTCTGGTGACTTGAGATTCTGCTGCTGTTGGCTGCTTTTCCCAGCAACCTATTAAATCGGGCAAGCCCAAGGGAGCGGAGATTCAGTTGGACTTTGAGCTCTGTTGAAATTGCCCTTTCCGCCTTTATTTGGTAGGTGTCTGGTCTTAAATGTGCCTGTAAGTGAGATAGTAGAAAATGGTTCTTGAGAGAGGATGTGAAACTCTGCAGATGTCACTGATCCATTACATCCTCTTCTGCCTTGGTCAGCGTACCATGTGAGTGTTACTTTGGAGTTGGTAAACGGGCCCAGAATTGAAGAAGTTGGTATGGTGCAGTGACGGTGTCCTGCTATCTCTTAATGAAGTTTGGAATATGGAGGCCTTTGCTTGCTTACTACCATGGCAAAACACTAGAAAACTCGTGTCAAAGGGGGAAAACTTGAACAGAAAAGAATCAACACACAGCACTGGAATCGGGTGATGTTTCAATTATGCAAGAAAGTATCAAGTCCCTCTTGAGAGAATAGGATCTTTTTATTTTGTCGGTATCTCTTCCTGACGGGAAGGAAGGGTTTGCTCCAGTCACTTGAGTCATGAATAAGTCGCTTGTTTGCTTTTTAACAAAACAGGCACCAGCGGATGCTTTGGCCTGGCAGGCTGGCCACAGCTGACGTTGCTCTGAACCTGCCTCACCTCTCTGGGTAGGGATGCTGGCCGGTCTGGTCAGGTCCCCTTCCCTTCCTGAGTCCTCCTTCAGATGGGCTGGCCTGGATGGAGCAGAGGATCTTATTCTGCTGATGGTGCATTAGTCACAGGATCGTGTGAAAAGCTATGGGCAGGAGGAAGGTGGTGGTAGATGGAAAGGGAGGGGAGGACCGCACAGAATCTTGCATGGATCAGGCTAGGGTCTTTACTGGTGACAATCCGGCTTACTGGTAAGGATATTAAATGGAGCTTAATTGAATAGCTAATGCAATTGATCAGCTGATGCAAATTGCATCAACGACTGTTCAATTAGTCATAAGGGCACCTCTGCCTGTGACATGTAGTGTGCACCCTGCCGGCTCCTGCTACGTTCCACACACGGAAGCGCTGAGGACCAGCGATGGACTAAGCAGCCCGCTGCTGGCCCCACGCTCCCTGCTTTTTGAAATGTACATTGTATATGTCAAAAGCAAAACATGCGTGGCGAGCATGGGGCCAGCAGACCGCTTGAGTCCCCTGCTCTTGCTACCTTTCAAAGGTGGAAGTGCCACCAGTTCCCTGCTGCATGCCCCCCACTGTGGAGATGGTGTTGAGGGGAACTGGCTTTTAAGTGGCCCTCTCCAGCACCAGCTCCTCTTCTCCCTTCACCGCTTGCTGCTTCTCTGACAGGCAGAAGGTGGGGGGAGCAACTAGCTGAGTCGACTGTCGGGTAAGCATATGCTTATCCCAGCGTTGCCCAATCTTATTTGGCCACGGAACCCTTTTAAACTTGAAAGAATTTTGCAGAACCCCTAATAAATCTTGTATATGGAGCTGAAACAGTAGACCACAAATATGTAAGGGTAATAAACAAATGCTGAACAAGGTCATGAGACTGACCTTTCACTTAATTGCACATTTAACAAATCACATTTGTACGAAAATAAAGCTCAAGCTAATATGCATTATATTAGTAGTTTGCAGTGCAAAGAGTGGTTTTGCTTTGCTTGGCAGATTCTTTTTATATTTGGTTTAATACTGGAAAGTTGGATTTGCACTCCTGGCATGGCATTTAGTCGATTGCTGTATTTTGTTTTTGTTGCTGCATAACTTGAGAACCCAGTTTTGCACAAGTGTGTGCTGGCGAAGGGTAGCAAACGACTAATTTCACATCTTGATAAAGCTGAGTATTCTTGACATAAGCTGCCCCAAAATGTAATCCTAGAAACTTCTGTGAAACCCTTATTTTCACTTTGTGGAACGCTGGGGTTCTATGGAACACCATTTGGGAAACACTGGCTAATTGGATAGTCAACTAGTCACTTATACTCACTGGTATGCCAAGGTCTGGTGTTAGGTGGAAAATCTGTTTTCAGTGTTTGAGGGGGAGAGTCACTGTTTTCCCAAAGTTACTTGAAGGGCCCCCAAAAGGATGCACTTTCCATCTATCACCCCCATTACATTATTTTGTTCACCAGTTTGGCTCCATTAACTTCCACCCCCATATTGCTCATCGACTGGACGTTATCTTAACTGAAGGATGGTTCTGTCAGGCATTAATCCAGCCTGTCACCCTTGTATATCCTTCCACTGATACTGTTGTAGGTGATGGGAACATAATCAAAATCTTCCCACTTGTGAGCTCCCATTTTGCATAGGGCTGCCAGGCCCCAATTACAAGATAGGGATGTAAGCGACTAATTGATAGTAGACCCTTCAGGTGTCACTCTGTACCTGTCTCCCCTTCCAGTCCAGCCACTCGGCCTCCGGAGCCTGTGCCCCGCCTGCGGCCTGTGAGCTCCTGGCACCGTGTGCCCTGAGCACAAGGCAGATCGTCGCACGTGCAGGGCAGTGAAGTGGAGGATCCCCACTCTGCTGTTGGGCTCTTTCCTGCCTTGCATTCGCTCATTTGGGGCAGGGGCTTGGGGGTTACTGGCCCAAGTTGGAAGCATGTGCTGGGACATCTGGCTCTCTTTACCCTGGTGTGCCGCTTCGGGTAGCATGGGAGTGAGCTCCTGAGTCGCCCACCTCTCAGGGATCTGTGGGGGTGAGAGATTATCAAATAGCAGTCTAGGGCCTCCTGCTCAGACCCCCACACCAGACCTCGCACTGATCTTCAATCTCACAAGCACACAGCAGAGTGACCTGCTTCCCCCTCCTTCCCTGGAAGAGCTCCCTCCCTGCTACTCCTGTTCCGCTCTTGGCTGAGCAGACCTTGGCTTGGCGACGTGTAGGAGCCCTGCTGTGTTGCTGCAGGGCGCTGGAACACCTGGGCCAGGTGATCGCTTAGTGGTGGTCAGGGCTCTCTTGGCACCGCCCTTCCTGCTTAGCCATCCCTGTGCCACTGCGCATGGAGCGGCAGGCGTTCGGCTGGGACCTACACCTTTGGACTCTCCAAATTCCAGCAGGGCCTCAGTGGGTCTCAACGGAGTGGTGTTCTCCGGGCCGAGTGGGATAAGCAACACCAGAGCTGAAATGTGGCTGGGACGCTGATCTGCTGAGTGGGCTTCATTACGGCAGGACTGCCCGCCGTGCAACAACCCCCCTTTCTCTCCGTTCTGAGCAACGTGCTTGGCTGCGTCCCGTGAGCTCCTTCACGCGAGGCGCTTAGCAGAGGAGTGCTTGCGTCGGGGGCTGGGGAAGTCTGGCTTGCTGGACTTGTCTTCCTACGGGCAGTAAGTGCCTGCTGAGCTCACTAAATCCAGCATCTCCAGCCAGTCAGCCTAGGGGGGCATTGGGCGCTGATGGGAGGGAACCAGCAGAAGTTTCCTGAACTGCAGCTTGGTCACTGCTAGGCGGGAGAGACGGCTGCTGCGGTGGAACAGGAGGCGCTGGGGATGGTAAAATCAGTAGCCCTCATCTAACGAGAGACACTAAATAGCTTGGTGTTCTCAGCAGATGAGTGGGAACTGGAGTCTGTCAAAACCCGTCTCCCTGATGTGGAGACACCTGAGCAATTAGCGCTCCCCTTCATTTAAATAAAAGGCTCCTGCAGAGCCCAGGGACCCTCTAATGTGGCATGGGGAGTCCTTAGTGTCTTGCTACTGTCCTACCTACATGGTCAGTGCCCGTCCCTCCCTAAGTAGTAAGCTTCGTTTTCCTGCAGTTATCCAAAGTTTGCCCGCTTCAGCACGAGTCAGATCTCTGCAGCGTCCCTGGATTGGAGCTCTGTAGGCTGGTGCCTAGGGCTCTGTTGCTGGGAGTCACATGACCATGGCCCCCCCAGGGGTCACCCGCCCTACAATCAGACCCAGTTGCAGGGGCTCGGTTGGTAACTGGAGCAGCCGCTGCAGCCCCTCAACCCCGCTGCCTCTCTGCTTTCAGAGCAAGCCCCAGTCGCCCACGAGGCAGTCTCCTGTCCTGGTGAGCAGCAGCTCCAGAGAGAATGGGGTTCCCGTGGAGCAGGACGAGCAGGACCTGTTTGCGGGTAAGCATCCCTGCACGGGTGGGACAACCTCGAGCTCTCGCTGGGGGACGGAGGCAGCTGCAGCCTCCAAGCCCCCTGCAGCCTTTTTGGCTCCTGTCCATGCTTGTGGGGGAGGGCATCTGTGGGAAGCCTGGTGCCTCCCTGTCCTCTGGACACTGGAGTGTAACCGGCTCTCCTGGGGAAAGCTGCACCAGGGTGTGTGTGTGTGGGGGGGGGGGGGCTTTAACTACTCTGGCAGCTGCTTGGAGAAGCCTGAACCCTCAGCTCTGCCAAGTGCGGCACTTGGTGCTGAGACGTGCCCTCCTGGAGTGTGCAGGCAGATCCCGCCGTGTTGGGCACGGTGCTTTCCTCGTCCCGGTGTGGGCAGCACAGCCACTTGTGGACTCCCCGAGCAGTTACAAGGGCACTGCAGCAGCTCTGGGGGGGAGGAGCTGAAAGCTGCTTGGAGAAGCCTGAACCCTCAGCTCTGCCAAGTGCGGCACTTGGTGCTGAGACGTGCCCTCCTGGAGTGTGCAGGCAGATCCCGCCGTGTTGGGCACGGTGCTTTCCTCGTCCCGGTGTGGGCAGCACAGCCACTTGTGGACTCCCCGAGCAGTTACAAGGGCACTGCAGCAGCTCTGGGGGGGAGGAGCTGAAAGTGACACAGGTCCTCAGCCCCTTGCAGCAGCGGGGAGGCGGGAAGGAGCCCATGAAACGCTGCCACTCCTCACTGGCTGGAAAACGGGT